CGGTACATTGATGTAGTGGGAAGATTATCATCCAATCCAATAGAATCATGTTTTTAGGTGAGACCATTATGGACATCCCTGTTAAACATGAGTTGGACCCAGTAAGCTACACGGAAGCGTGAACCGATATGGATACAGATCGTTTTGGCGAGTTACTATGAAATCAGAGTTAGAATCTATGTATTCTAATAAGATCTGGGATCTTGTAGAACTTTCTAGTAGGGTGATACCTATGGAAGGCAAGTTAATTTACAAAAAGACACCAGAAGATTTCTTAGTGAATAAATCATGAGTGTACAAGGGAATGTCATTATTTTTCTAATTCTATATATATTGATGACATCCTACTCATTTAGGATGATGTGGAAGTTTTGTCATCAATAAAAATGTAGTTGTTTAATTACTTTTAAATGAAGGATCTTCAAGATATAAGCTATATTCCTAGGATCAAGCTTTGGCAAGATCAGGTTAAAAGGAAAATAGGCTTATCTTAATAATCCTACATTAATAAAGTTTTAACCAGGTTTGGTATGCATAACTCAAAGAATGAGTTCTTGCTTTATTAATATGGATTGCTCTCTCTAGTAAGTAGTTTTCCAAGACTAGCAGAGGAGATTGAGTAAATGAGACTGGAACTATATGCTTTGGCATATGGAAGTCTCATATATGCCATGGTCTATACCAAATAGGACATCCGCTACATAGTAGGGATAGTCAAAAGATATCAATCTAATCCTGGACTTGATAACTAGTCTGTTGTGAAAAATATCATTAAGTATCTAAGGAGGACCAAGGATATCATACTCATTTATGGATGTGATGTTATGGTCCTAGTCAGGTATGCTAGTTCTGATTTTCAATCAGAAGTAGATACTATAAGGTTCATGACTTAGTGTATGTTCACTTAATGGAAGGGAAATCAGTTGGTAGATTGTTAAGCAGATTTCAACTGCTGACTCAAACCTGCAGGTGGAATATATTGCAGCCTTAAAGGCGGCAAATGAAGCCTATTAATTTAATCTCACTAATTTGGAGGTTGTGGAGTATACTAGCCTGCCTATTGAGCTATGTTGTGACAATAGTGCAAAAGTAGTCCAAACCAATGTCCCAAGGTTCTATAGAGGAACAAGATACACTGAGAGGAAGTATCATGTTCTACATGATATTGTCTGGCAAGAAAATGTACTTGTAGCTAGAACATTGCATTGGAACACAACTTTGTTGATCCATTATCAAAGGTGTCATTGATCAATAATTTTGATCATCATCTGGATAACATTGGAGTTAGGTGCAATTTGAATTAACTATGAGGGCAAGTGGGAGCTGTTGGGATTTATATGCCCTGGCATAGCAAATTCCTGTTTGGATTAAAGTGACATATGTTCCTGACGTTTCTGAAATATTTATGTTTTATACAATTGGTGAATTCAATGTATTATTTTTCGATTCATTATAGAATTGATAGTGTCCATTTGATTACAAGAGATATTTATATATATGTATATGATGACAATCAATGCATGATATATAAATAGTAATCATAAATGGTTCATAGTCGGTAATTATAGATGGACTCATAATTAATTAAAATTTGAACTGGATCCGCGTTAGGTTGAGATATATTGCGAGAGCCGTCGTATACAATTGCTCCCTATCACCGTCATGGCATTTGACTCTTAAGTATGAGAAAATTATAGACTCTTTTATTAATTAATAATTACTTTGATTTGTTCGGCGGATTCTTCGGGATCCTTAGACCGACACTTTGGGTAGTTTTGTAATTAATAATTAGAGAGTTATATTTTCAATATTTGCATCATTGCTACTTGTATTTATTTTGTATTGATTATGGTTGATCACAAAGTAAATTCGAAGGTCTTGTATGTTTTTAGACAAAATAATTTATTATATATTTATTTATTTAAATTATTATTTTTGTCAAACAAATGTTTTATTGTGATCGAGTCAGAAATAATCAAAGGTACCAAAATAAATATATTAATTAAGTAGTCGGATTGATGGCTTTATTTATCTAATAACTAATTATGCATAGAGGGGTCAAAGCGCAATATTGACTTAGTGGTTATTTATTATTTAATTAGAGTTCAATTAATTTCTTTTAGTGGAGTAGAAATTAATTTATGAATTAATTGAATTGGGTCCATGGACCGGACCAATTATTAATTCATTGTAGCAAATAAAATAATAGGCCCAATGGATTCTCACTCATAGCCCAACTTGATATTGGAATCATATTAGATTTGAGACATATGAATTAGAGATTGAGAAGGATTTGTTGTTTCCTTTATTTTTTTTGTTGCCTATAAATATACATGATCTATGTATATTTTGGGGGTGATTTTTTATGAGAAGGAAAAAGGAATAAATTTTCTCTCTCTAGAAAATTAGGGTTAGTGTTCGCATCTAATGGAGGCTCCCACAAGCCTTATTTTCCAAGGTCATTCATGTAGGCTTATGAGTGATTCCTAAAGGCAAAACAATTATCAAGAAGATGGAGATCCAAGGAGAAAGCGTCTTACTAAGAGATCTACAATAAGTGAGAACATTCACTTTAAAGGAAAGAATTAAAGGTTTACTCAGACCTTTAATGTAAGTATTCAATATGTTAATTGAATGATACATCATATTTTATTTTTGTATAAAACTTGTCTCTATGTGATGAATCAAGATCTATGTATTAAAATCCCTCGAAAAGTTTTTAAAACTTGCACGTTTCCCAACATATAGAACTACTTGAATTGGATGAATCAGTGGCATACATTGTTGCAGATGAAGATGATAACAAGACAGCTCTTCATGTAGCAGCGAGCCAAGGTAGTGTAGGTGTCATGAAAAAAATATTATCACGCTGTCCAGATTGTTGGGAAATGATCAACACTAGAGGCGAGAATGTCCTTCACAATACAGTGGAGCATGACGAGGAGGAGACGGTCAAATTTATCTTAGAGAAACGGTTTGGCAAAAAGCTTAAAAATCAGAAAGACACTGATGGAAACACACCTCTTCGCATTGCTGCTAATCTTTCCAACTTCATGACGCATTGGAAGCTTTGATCCAACAAACCTCGTCACACCGTCACACCTCCAGAGTCCACGGTAAGGATGCATACTTATCTACCTTGTCTATTGTGAAATATTTTTGCTTACATGCTATATATACAGTAAAAAGAACTTCACAGGAATTTTTGATCATGTTATTAAAAAAGATAATGTTCCTAATTTTGTGGGTTATAGCTCTCTTATCATTCAGACATCATAAAGTAGAGAATGCTAGTATTTAAATACATTTATCAACTTTTTATTCATGAAAATTACTGTTGAATTGGTATTTACTATTATGTAAAAATTTGATCTGGTATATAAAGAAAAAATAAAAATACAAAATAGAGCGAGCCGGCTCAGGCAATTGTCTGACTTTCCAACCATATATGGTCTAGTGCACCCAGTAGCTAATGCATGATAGTCAAACGTGTCAATGGATTAGATTTTAATACAAGTGACGATTATCCAAATATAAATTGAAAAAAAAAAAATTCGATAATGATTCGAATCCGACAATCCGTTACCTTAACAAATCGGATATAAATTATGAGTAATCCGATCCGAACCTGATCTAATTAAAATTAACCATATGCTAGGTTTGTCTCTTCAAGAACTACAAGTATTTAACTACAAAAAATGACACATGGAGTTTGTATTATTAAACATATATATATACTCTCTCACACACATGGAGGCATTGCCCCCAAATTCTGGCATTGAATATCACTGCTATATTTAAACTGATGATCAAAAAACAAAAATGCAGCATTTCCGAAACAAATTTAAAATAGACAAAAAAGACGAAGCATTGATAGAAGGAGAAATCATGAAACAAAAATGCAGCATTTCCATTATTGCTGTATTACTCCTCTTAATTTCATTCACTTATACTTAAAATTATGATGAGGACGAGCGTATAAAGCGCCAAGTCTGGGCTTTTTGGCTCATTACGGCAGCCATGGGAGCAATGGTGGTTGCATTCATGACTGGTTTTTATGCTACAATGGAACCTTCATTAAGAGTGTAGTGGAACTGTATTCACTGCTTCGGCAATATGAACCCCCAAGATGTAGTGGAAATGTATTTGCTGCTTCTGCAATATGTACCCCCAAAATGGTTTTATTGAATATATGACTGTCTTTCTCACACACACACACAAGCATATGGAAGCATTGCCACCAAATTTTGGCATTAAATATTATTCTTCTCATCTCCTAGGAAAAAAAATATATATGTGTAGTTCAAAATATCACTAAAAAACTGGTTTGATTTGTAAATATGAAAATAGTTCTCAATAATTAAAAAAACAAAAAATTATTTTTTTATAAATGAATTTTCGAAAAACAATTTTCAAAAAATTGAACCAACCAAAATTTTTTCTGTTTTTAATTTTTTTAAAACATCATAAACTATTCTCAGAATTACAAATGAGTAAAGCCCTAATTATCTCATACTACCGTTAGCAATAGCCATTATAAAAAATACAAATACATTGTTTTTTTTTCATTGTATATAATTGTTCATCAGTTTTTAATGTGGGATGATGTTAAAGATAAATGTTGCCAACCTACCTTAACCAACAAAACAAAAACCCCAAACCCCATAAAGAAAGGGAAGTTTGAACTTCGATGTTACAACATTTGAATTCCTATGCTTTTCAACTAAAAAAAATATAGAAATGGCGATCCTTTCCGCACACAACAATAATGTGAGAGCTTACAATAGAAAACCATCAACAAAATCCAATAATCCATCAACTGTAAATACACACCCCCAATCGCCTTTATCTGATGAATCAAAATCAAAATCAAAATCAAAATCCCTAATAAGAAAATCCCAATATATCAAAAGGATTGAATACTCATCACTGACGACTGAGGAGCCATGAGACACTATAACGCCAGTGCCTCAAAGTCATATAACCAGGGAAGCTGTATATATACCAAACACGGACATGATTTTATTCAATTATGAAGAAGAGTCAAAACATTTAGCACCCAAAAGATGTACTAGTAAGAAGAAACTACACAACATTTAGAAACTATCTACACCACGGACAAACCAACTAGAACCATAACAAGCAGAAGCACAAACCAATAACTTAAATGCTGGGATTTCAGAAATCACCACCACGGAGACGAAGGACGAGGTGAAGGGTTGACTCCTTCTGGATGTTGTAATCAGCAAGAGTGCGCCCATCCTCAAGCTGCTTACCAGCAAAGATCAATCTCTGCTGATCCGGTGGAATCCCCTCCTTGTCCTGAATCTTAGCCTTGACATTATCAATTGTGTCCGAACTTTCCACCTCCAATGTGATGGTCTTCCCAGTTAGTGTCTTCACAAATATTTGCATTCCTCCCCTGAGCCTCAGCACCAAATGCAGCGTAGACTCCTTCTGGATGTTGTAGTCTGCGAGAGTCCTTCCATCCTCGAGCTGCTTACCGGCAAAGATCAATCTCTGTTGGTCCGGAGGAATGCCCTCCTTATCTTGGATTTTGGCCTTCACGTTATCAATGGTGTCCGAGCTCTCCACTTCCAAAGTAATCGTCTTTCCAGTTAGAGTCTTCACGAAGATCTGCATCCCACCACGAAGCCTCAGAACCAAATGGAGAGTGGACTCCTTCTGTATGTTGTAATCAGCGAGAGTCCGACCATCCTCTAGCTGTTTTCCGGCGAAAATCAAACGCTGTTGATCGGGAGGGATCCCTTCCTTGTCTTGGATCTTAGCTTTCACGTTGTCAATTGTGTCAGAGCTTTCGACCTCGAGCGTGATGGTCTTGCCAGTTAGGGTTTTGACGAAAATCTGCATTCCACCTCGGAGACGGAGCACAAGGTGTAAAGTGGACTCCTTCTGGATGTTGTAATCGGCGAGAGTCCGGCCGTCCTCAAGCTGTTTTCCGGCGAAGATCAACCGCTGCTGATCGGGAGGAATTCCTTCCTTGTCTTGGATCTTAGCTTTCACGTTGTCGATGGTGTCGGAACTCTCAACCTCGAGAGTGATGGTCTTGCCAGTTAGGGTCTTGACGAAGATCTGCATACCTCCTCGAAGCCTGAGAACGAGATGGAGAGTCGACTCCTTCTGGATGTTGTAATCGGCGAGGGTCCGGCCGTCCTCGAGCTGTTTTCCGGCAAAAATTAATCGCTGCTGATCCGGAGGAATTCCTTCCTTGTCTTGGATTTTGGCTTTCACGTTATCGATCGTGTCGGAGCTTTCGACTTCGAGCGTGATTGTCTTGCCAGTTAGGGTTTTGACAAAGATCTGCATCTGGAATTATAAAAAAATAAATAACTAAATAAATCGATTATACAACAGATCTGTAACAAAAACTGGTAATAAACACAGCAGATGTTGAATTTAATTGAAGAATTGAAAATAAAAAACAAGAATTGAACAAATTCTCTACCTTGAGAGGAGAGAGAGAGAGAGAGAGAGGTCGTTTGCTTTTGAACAAGAGAGAAAAAGTTATCGAATTGAACGATAGAGCAATGCGAAGAATGAAGACGAACGTATTCGCTTTGTGTATTTATAGATGAGAATATGAGATAGATACAGGACTCCGAGTAGGGGGCACCTCCGGAAATAAAGAGAAATTATCGGTCAACTTAACTAGAATTATCTGGAAGCTTCTGACAATTCTCTTGTTAATGAATGATACTTTTCTTTTTATTGAAAATTTGGACTATTTTAGTTTAAAAAAAAAAAAAAAAAAAAAACCAACCATTTTAGTAGGAATCGCAAAATGGGTTAGGAATCATCAACCCGTTCATATTTCATGGTTATGGGTGAATCATTTTGATTTGGGGATCAAGATGAATTGGGTAATTTTTAACCACTTAATTTGAAGGTCAACATAGATTAAATATGGTTAACCATATTCAACCCATATTTCACCCATCACATAATAAATAAACAACACACATATATTTTATATTGCACTCAATTTATTTCTCTCTCACAATCCTCTCTTTGTGAATTTGTCTATTATCAATCCCCTCTCTCTCTAAGTTTCTCTCTTTAGAAACTTTTTTAAAAAAAATAATTAAAAAGTTTCGAAAAAAAATAATTAAAAAATAAAAAATAATTAAATTTTTTTAAAAAAATAATTAAAATAATTAAATTTTTTATAAAAAATAAAAAATAATTTTAAAAATTTCAAAAAAAAAAAAATTAATTAAAAAAAAAAAAAAATATTTCGTCTAAACAAACGGATTCAGATTTCACGGGCCATTATTTAGAACCATAAATTCATCTAGAGAGAGAAAGTGAGATTGTAAAATTTGGAATGAGTGAAGGAAACAATACATATATAATTTTATAATCTGTTAGAGCCCAATTTGTGATGGACTCATGGGAATCGGATTTGAAGGCGCATGTCGTGATCGTGGGAATGTAGGGAGGTGGTTGTGTTTTCCTATGCTATATATATATATACACACACATGCAATTCATATACACATATACATATATATACCAAATATATGTAGAGAGAGAAAGTCATGAGAGCTGAGAGGTGGTTGTGTTTTCCTATGCTATATATACATTTACACATGCAATACATATACACATATACATATATATGGGATATAGAGAGAGAGGGATATAATGATGATAGCATTGGGGTTGCAAAAGATTAATAATCATGTTAATATTTAATAAAAAATAATTAAAAATAATAATTAATGAGTTCATGGGTCATAACGGGTTGGTCCTGTCCATATTCAACTCGTTTTAAACGGATTAAATTTGAGTCTGGACCTATATTGACCCGATCATTTTCAACCCGATCCAAACCCGACCCAACCCGCCCATTTACCACCCTTACATTTTAGTTAGAGTATCTAAGTCAAAAATTACTTGATAATTAAATTGTATCAAATAATTTAAGAAAATTACTTGCTTTACAGTATAAGTCTTCACTCCTTTCTAACATGTGTATATTCATAATTATCGTTTACTATTACAATAAAATAAAATTAGACTATAAATATATATAAGTCTGTTTAATTTCAAACGGGATGTTATATATATATATATTCTAAACTATCTCAATTATCTGTTATAATTATCCTTTTATAGCTCATGCTGTATCAATAAGCAAGTTAATTTTGTTTTTTACTCTTATATATAGTTGTGACATTGCTTATTAAATGTATTAAAATAATCTTTATAGCATGTGTTAACGAGTTATTAATAATATTAACAGATGATAATTAAGAATAGTTTGTGAACGGTTATTGGGGTTTTATTTTGCAAGGCTCAATCTCCAGCTTGGCATGTGAGAGAGTGTGGGCTACTCAGGCCTATTTTGACATTGGATTTGACCATTTAGGTCCGCCCACTTAGCCGATCTGTTGGGTCCATTCTTGGTTCCAACTGTTATTAAATATTATGCTATTTATTTCTTTTAATGTAACTTATTTTTGAAGGAAATAGTAAGAATATTTCAAAAATTATAGAAATTTTCAGAATATTATATTTTATCATATATGACCTGTTTGTGTTGGATTATTTAGGTTTGGATGATTTTTTGCTAGTTTTACTAAATTTAAACCTGAAAAGTATTATTTTTTTAGACAATAATACTTTATTTAGAATTTTTTTTTTTTTTTTTTTTCATATCTTCTCAGAGAAATTGTGATCTCATTGAAGAGGGAATAGTAAAACTTAAAAGATAGCCGTGTAACATAGAAAAATATAGAATTAAATGTGATTAGAATTTAAAACAAGTACAACATTAGTAATACATTTATGAAGAAAATAACTAGTACCAAATTCCAAAGATCCTGTTCATGAGAAAAAAAAATAAAAAAAAAATGAAAGAAGTCAAACCCGAACCTAGAACCAAAGTCCCAATGCAAAAACGGAACGGAACAAACATTTCAACTTCCATTGGTTAACGAGGCCTCAAGTGTAAAATTACCGTTACACCTCGACCATCCTTTATTTTGCTTTCCATTTAAGGACATTTGATGAACAAGTGAAAGGAGATTAGAACATAACTTACCAATAACGCATCAAACATTAGTAAGAGATAGAAAAGAAATGGGCAAGAAAGTACCAAGAGAAACTTTAAATTCCTTGGTTTGGTATTTAAGTTTGGTTCTCAAATAAGTTGAAAAGCATTTTGAAAATTTAATATATGTGGTAATTCCTTTTTTTTTTCCATATATATAATAATAATAATTATTATTATTATACAGTGACCTTAAATGTTATAATTTTTAAAATTATCTCTTATTTTTTCTTTATTTTCTATTTTACTCTTTAAATTTCTTAAATTTTCTTAAAAGAAAAAGTTAATTTTTTCTTTCTCCATTGAATTTCTCTAACCTTGTTTTTTATTCAAATTCTACTTCTTAAAATTCTTCTTTTTAACGAACATATAAAGTTCAATTTATAATAATAAGTAATTGACAAAAGAAGGAAGGAAAAGAAAATAAATTCAGCTCTCAAACGCGCACCCTTAAACACCCCATTTAACCTCTTAAAAAAAGATTTGAAATTTGAAATTAAAGACCCAAACAACTCTCAAGGAAATGCCCTCAATGCAGCCTCGAATAACCATTTAAAGTCCCATGGGTACGGATCCGAATATGCTCCAGTGCACCTCTCATTGGAGTGGATTCTGAGCAGATCCAAGGATTGTGATAAAACCACCTCAGTTCATTTGTCACATCATTATCTAGTGAGCATCCAGTCAACACCCAGTCAGCATTTACACAAAAAAGTTACTGACTATCTTCATTTACCACATGTAAGAATACTCATTACACTTATACACTATACAAATACATTATACAAAATCAGAATACATAATTTACAATTACATTTACTATTTTTTTGTTAAAAATTATCTTCAATTTTTTCCTTTGGTAAAATTACAAAACCTTATCTCTCTCCTCTGCTTTCGTCTTGGTCGCCTCAGACACTGAACACACAGATGGGTGATCTATAGCAAGGAATTATTTAAGCACACAAATGGGTGATCGAAAAATGCAAGAGTGAAAAACACAAAGCCGCCTTCTTCCTCCTCCTCTTCATAGCTTCTATACACGATACCCCTCCTCTCTCTAATCTAATCTCGTCTATATTTTACCCTAAAACAAAAACTTCTATGTATATATTTATATAATTACATCTATATAAATCAATCTCCTACCAATTGTATCTGTTTATATATATTTTGTAAGGGAAGGTGAACCACTGAAGATGGAGAACTGAGACTCACTTCTATTTCTAAGAATGAGACTTGATTTGGGTGAAAAATTTATTCTGATCTGAAATCATTCAGTTTCAGAGAGAGAGAGTTTTAGAAAGAGAGAGACGATGGGAGTATCTGGGTAGAAACCCAAATGCTTTCCGGTAGGTCGATCGTGCTTTAGAAAGAAGCATCATTGCAAGCAAAGAAGAGTGATCAAAACCCAATCTTTATCTCGTAAGCTCAACAAGGCCGATTCATCAGCTCAAATCGATCCTTCTTTTTCCAATCCCACTTTTCAAGGTTCCGATCTCTTACCCTTTTCATTTCTTTGCATAATTTTGGAGGCTAGATGGGTGAGGGTTTGGTATGGATCTAGAGATGGAGATGGGTTTGTGTGGAAATGAGAGAGAGGGATGGTAATGGTGGAGAGGCTAGATGGGTGAGGGTTTGGTATGGATCTAGAGATGGAGATGGGTTTGTGTGGAAATGGGAGAGAGGGATGGTAATGGTTGAAGACGTTGATGAAGAGAGGAGAGATCGTAGAGAGATAAAACAGAGGAAATGGGTGAGGGTTGTTTGGTTGGGGGAATTTTAACTTGAAAATGAAATACAAAAAGGGAAAGGCTACAGAATGGGCGTACAGAAAGGGTATAGTATGTATAGAAATGGTATAAGTAAAACTACATCAGCTGAGGATCCCGGACCGGTTCAAGTGAGATGCGAATGGAGACGATTTTTCTCCCATGGGTACTGCCCAAACAGCCCCAAAAGTGATCCCTCAAAAGCTGCCCCAAACAGCCCCTTTATTATTACCCACACACATGCACCAAATCACTCCTTTAAAACCCCTTTTTATTGTGTCCATGAATGAAAGGCACCAAAACTACACACACAACATAAAGAAAAAAAAAAATGAAAAACAGACAAACAAAGCACCAAAATGGACCGGTCCGTCTTACACAGACCATTGCCAACACTAGACAAGTTGTGCAAATTCCCACTCCAAAGCATTTAGAGGTTCATTTCCAACCACTAAAAGCATGAGTGAAAGTTCTAGAAGGCAGTAAGGTTCCTAAGAAGAACCTATATAAACTACAATACTTTCTTAATCAGATCACTAATCGTAATCAGATCACTAATCGCTAATGTTGATCCAATAACAAATTCACACAATCCTCATGACCCAATATAACACACACCTCGTCACCAATTTAAGCGTCACAACCTCATTAGCTTTACACACCTTTGCAGACCATGAGAACAAAATACAAGTACCACAAATTTTTGCAGGCAAGGCTGAAAATCATGCGAGGACCTTAGAGTACACATATGATGGTACTCATACCATTTCTTCCTCGTAAACAAGGAAGCAAAAAAAAAATGAAAGCATCATAAATTTTGGTTACATCAAAGTCTTCTAAATAAAGATGAGTAACCTATGGTCAAGTTACATCAAGAAAAAATCATAATCATCAAAATATCGTGTCATGAGTAAGTGTCGCCAGTGACGTGTCTCTTGCCTGCAAAATTGCAGGGTGAGCAAGTATGCCAGTAAAGCATGGGAGGTAACTTAACCTCCATTCCACAAATTTAATAAGCTAAAAGTCATGCTAGGAACGTTAATATCTAGCATTTAAGTAGGATATGCAATATCAAGTCATAACTAACAATTTTCACAAGTTGTAATTTAAGCATCAAATTCAACAACTTATAAAGGAATGGTACCTGAAATCAAACCACCAGGATTTATTGTACTCACACATGCCCAAATACATGCCGAAGCTCCATGCCGTAAGTTGTGGTTCCCAGGCTACTAACCTACAACTGATAAACTGCTTGGCCCTGATAAACTGCTTGGCCCAGTGTGAGGATTCTAACCCGAGAACTCCGTTCCAACTTACTTCTACCCGAGACAATCCCGAAAAGCACAAGTAATTCCACAAAGTAGCACATACCGTAATTACCGCATTTTATAATACTTCACAAGTGTACTTAATAAATGCATTTAAACACCCATCATATGCTCTTTATCATGCTACTAAATTGCATGCAAATTTAGGTCAACACCTACCATCATTCATTCATTTCAACAATTCAAGAATATTTCTCAAGCATTTTGACAAACACTATGTGCGCAATGGAAATATCTTGGCATAAGGATATCACATGAAGCAAAAACACATCATTGATAGCTCATAAAAGTCACTTCCCTCTATACATAATATACTAAATTAAGAGAGACAAACAATCCATCATGTATAACCTACCACATGAAATTCGTATTTATCAATTTTATTTCAAGCATGATAACACGATTAGCTTTCCACCCACACATATGCAACATATAAACCATACACACATCAAAACTATTTCTTCACCACAATGTAAAAAGAGCTCACAATTTATCATGAAGAACATGTCAATTCATCTATAAGGTGGAGTTCATCAAATGTACTATACAAACACAACAAATTTAGCATACTAATCCTACCAATTAAACAATTAAAGATAAATTAAAAAAATTCATAAAAAAAAAAATTTAATAAGTCAAAATGATAATATATAAAGAAAAATAAGTATCAAAAAATTTTGGACCTTGAGGCTCTCACACTTGCGCTGCCCCTCCCTGTGACTTAGGTACGAAGTCGACTTGACCTATGAGGTCACAGGTCCGACCCAAAGAAGAGAATGTTGACGGTACGCAAGCCAGCCTTGCAGACTACCAACGGAGACCAGGGAAATTTAGAAAGTTGGTTTGTGTTTCACAAAATATCAGCACTGCAATCTGTTGGTCAATGGACCAATTATTTATTAGGTCCATTCTGAGAAGTGCATGTCGTACCAATTGATATCAGCATTAGGATGTAGTCTCGAAGAATTGAGGAAGTTGAGCAGGCAGACTACATAAAAATCTGACCTTGGAACCTTCTTATAGCACTATTTGAACAAAGAGGCTGTTCAAATTTTACCCGCTATAAGAAGCAATAGCCTCAAAATTTCAAATGCAACTAAAAGAATTCAGTTCAACCCTAAGACTTAAAGATTAAAATCATATATTGGAACCTAGGTTCATGAATTCTTTCTCCAAGCACACATCCCTATTTGAAAGGGATATTTGGAATTGCAGTCAGACCTGTAAATAGATTCAACATAGGTTCCATGTTGAATTTGAATAAGAATTTTATATTCACACTATGTGCTTTAATAAATATAAATATTCAAATATCCTCCAAAAATATTCCAATTTGAATTCATAACAAAACCCAAAAAAATACTGTAGAAAACAGAACACACATGGGAAGGTGTATATAAACCAAACACGACATGATTTTATTCAATTATGAAAGAAGAAACTACAGAACAATTAGAAACTATTACTCGATATTGAAACCACATATTTCAGTGTCTTCACAAAACAACTAGAACCACTACAAGCAGAACCACAAGCCAATAACTAAAATGCAGGGATTTCAGAAATCACCACCACGGAGACGAAGGACAAGGTGCAGGGTCGACTCCTTCTGGATGTTGTAATCAGCAAGAGTGCGCCCATCCTCGAGCTGTTTTCCAGCAAAGATCAATCTCTGCTGATCCGGTGGAATACCCTCCTTGTCCTGAATCTTAGCCTTGACATTATCAATTGTATCCGAACTTTCCACCTCCAATGTGATGGTCTTCCCAGTCAATGTCTTAACAAATATCTGCATTCCTCCCCTAAGCCTCAACACCAAATGCAGCGTAGACTCCTTCTGAATGTTGTAGTCCGCAAGAGTCCTCCCGTCCTCGAGCTGCTTACCAGCAAAGATCAATCTCTGTTGGTCCGGAGGAATGCCCTCCTTGTCTTGGATTTTGGCCTTCACGTTATCAATGGTGTCCGAGCTCTCCACTTCCAAAGTAATTGTCTTTCCAGTGAGAGTCTTTACAAAGATCTGCATCCCACCGCGAAGCCTCAGAACCAAATGGAGGGTGGACTCCTTCTGTATGTTGTAATCGGCCAGAGTCCGACCATCCTCGAGCTGCTTTCCGGCGAAAATCAAACGCTGTTGATCAGGAGGGATCCCTTCCTTATCTTGGATCTTAGCTTTCACATTGTCAATTGTGTCGGAGCTTTCAACCTCGAGCGTGATGGTCTTGCCGGTTAGGGTTTTGACGAAAATCTGCATACCTCCGCGAAGCCTGAGAACCAGATGGAGAGTCGACTCCTTCTGGATATTGTAATCGGCGAGAGTCCGGCCGTCCTCAAGCTGTTTGCCGGCGAAAATCAGCCGCTGCTGATCCGGAGGAATTCCCTCCTTGTCTTGGATCTTGGCTTTCACGTTATCGATCGTGTCGGAGCTCTCGACCTCGAGCGTGATGGTCTTGCCAGTTAGGGTTTTGACGAAGATCTGCATACCTCCGCGAAGCCTGAGAACGAGATGGAGAGTCGACTCCTTCTGGATGTTGTAATCAGCGAGAGTCCGGCCGTCCTCGAGCTGTTTGCCGGCGAAGATCAATCTCTGTTGGTCCGGAGGAATTCCTTCCTTGTCTTGAATCTTAGCTTTCACGTTGTCGATTGTATCAGAGCTTTCGACCTCGAGAGTGATGGTCTTGCCGGTTAGGGTTTTGACAAAGATCTGCATCTGGAGTTATAAAAAAAATAAATAACTAAATAAATCGATTATACAACAGATCTGTAACAAAAACAAAACAGATGTTGAACTGCAATGGAAGAAAAACAAGAGTTGATCTCTACCTTGAAGAAGAGAGAGAAGTTTGCTTTCGGAGAAGAGAGAGAAAGTTAACTAATTGAATGAGAGAACAATTCGAAGAACAATTCGAAGAATGAAAAGCAATGTCCTAAGGATTTGTATTTATAGACGATATATTTGGGACTTCGAGTAGGAATGGGAGAGGGGTATTTCCGGAAATAAGGAGAAATTAGCGGTCAATAGAGACGGTGAGACGATAGAACCTAGAATTATCTTGACTATTCTTTTGTTTGATTCAATGGATGATGAGAGCTCGCGAGACACCATTCCCATTATAGGCTAGCTTTATTTTTATTTGGACCAAATTTAGTTAGGAAAAAACCATATTTCTCTTCTCCCTTCTCCATAGTTTATAAGGAAATTAATAGGTAAGGAAATTAAATCAAAATATAGGAGGAAATAAAAAAATTCTAAAAATCAAAATACATTTAAATCTTACGAATTTGTTGTTGATTTTCATTTTGAATTGACCATTTGAATTTTCAATGGCTGAAAATTTGTTTTTGATTTCCAATTTGAATGGCTCAAAATTGGCTAGGTGTTCCTGGTGGGACTGGTCCTACATTGAATTTAGATGAAGGTTAAAGTATGTACGGTTGGATATGCAGTACTACCCAGCAAGTTTGAGTTTTTAAGAAAATGGAAAAACGTTCATCCTCTACAGTTAGTATCAAAGTCAGACCCAGTTCTTAATCCGGTATCACACCAAACTTCCGACCCTAAGACCGTCCGGGTCTGAACCCCATGGCGTTGTGAGTTACAATATCCAGAAGGAATAGGGTGAAGAAATAGGTTCATAAAATTGCTACTTTTATTGATTCCTAATTATAGATGCGCCACTTTCGCAAGTTCGATTACATTTATCATATGTAACAAAGTCTTAAAATCCTAAATTATCTCTAATGAAGGAACTATAGTCTTGTGAGAGTTTGCAATAAAGGTACACACAAACTTCCTATGATTACAAAAGAATATCTTGTATATCCATGAAACAAGAAAAATAAGAGATGAAATTATCAAGTTTTTCATATACAATGAGCTACTAAGGTGTTATACAAACAAACATTATAAATATTTTATCTACAAACAACCGAGAAGTAAAATGTATGTGCATAGCGAAGTCAACAAAAAGCCATTCCCAAATTCAAGCGATGAAATTCCCAAATTTCAAGAAAAAAAAAAAGTTTGACTTCAAATCTCACAAATAAATATTTCTTTAAAAAAAAAAAAATCTCGTAAATTTTAGTAACTGTTTCTCTCGATTGTATGCAAGTAGGAACTTTGTTTCCAGCGATGAAATTCCCAAATTTCAAGGAAAAAAAAAAAAAAAAGTTTGACTTCAAATCTCACATATAAATATTTCTTTAAAAAAAAAAAAAAAAAATCTCATAAATTTGAGTAACTGTTTCTCTCAATTGTATGCAAGTAGGAACTTTGTTTCCAGCGATGAAATTCCCAAATTTCAAGAAAAAATAAAAAAAAGTTTGACTTCAAATCTCACATATAAATATTTCTTTAAAAAAAAAAAACTCTCATAAATTTAAGTAACTGTTTCTCTCTATTGTACGCAAGTAGGAACTTTGTTTTCAAAGTCAAAGTCAACTCACGTACTAATATGAAGAAATGATACATATAGATAAACATAAAAAATAAAAAAATGGTCTCATGACTGGAATAATGTTCATTTTTTCGAGAATTTTGAGTTATCAACTATAATGCCTTCTCATTTATTATCTACTATCATACTTTTTCACGGATTTTGTGCATCCGTCAAATGGCTAGTCTGGATCTAAACTTTATTCACCATTCACCATTCACCATCTTAAGTGACTTCACATAAGAGTGGATTCAATTTGTAGGTTGAGTAAAAGGGTTTGCAGGCCACCTATGTTGGTTGCGTTATCAATAATGATATCCCTCTCATCGAGTTGAGTATATATTTAGGCTTTGTATCATCAAACACAATATTAATTAGCTCTATGACAACATTAGGTCCAAAATTAAAAACTTTATAAACCATACTATTTTGTGAATACTCCAAAAAAAAACAAATTTCAATATTACTCATTAAAATATCTCAAAATTTTCATATCTCTAAGAATATAGCATTTATTTGTAAAGATTCTAAAATATTTAATAGTGGATTTTTATCATCATATTGTAGCAATTTTATTCAATAAAAAATATAAACATTAATTTTGATTATACTAGACCACCAATCAATTTGGCCCGAGTTTTATTTTATTAAATACGGACTAAATTAAGGGGAAGGCCCATGTCCCAAACCCGCCTCCTTGTCATCCCCTAAACTACATTGCAATTGTAATTAAACTTTAAAAAATAAAAATAAAAAAAAAACTAATTTATAAAAGTTAGATTCAACAAAAACTGTAAATAGTGAAATCTTATTTTATCATAATATTTTCGTTTATCGATTCAAGAAATAATCAACTAAATTAAGCAGTTAAGATTTAATCAAATTCAAAAACTAAACAAAAATGATTAAAAATTTTAATTCATTGAACTTGTATTAACCAATACATTTAAAATGATTCGGGTTGACACTGGATTTTTGAAATTCACACTTCCTAATAGAATAAAAATTTTATATTAGCTAAAACTAAATTACTTATCACTTTCTATTGTGCTTCTTTTCATCACACAGTTTAACTCAAACCTAGTCAAAGTTCACGTAATTAACTTAATTAATAAAGTTTCTAAATAGTTGTCCTTGTTGACTTAATATATTTAAGTGTTATAATCGTCATTGAAAACTATAAATATATACATATATAATTGCAAACAATTTAGTTGTAATAGTTTCCTATCATGATAAAATGACTCGTTTTCTTTAATTAAATAGCAAAATCCTCTGTATATAATATAAATTCCTTCCATGTGGGTATAATTGGCATTGATAGGAATTTCAAAAGTAAATTTTTAAAATTTTGATTTTAAATCACACTTTAAACTTGAATGGTGCTTCACGCTAATAAATTTTTATCATCTTTTGCTAATCAAATTATTTGTCTCAGTTCATGAAGTTGGTAGTTTTGGACATGCCCCACTTATAAAAAAACTTCAATCAGAAATTAGCAACGAATATAAAGTGAAGTACAAATAAATAAAAGTATTGGAACCAACTGAAAGGAGCATATTTTTTCATGATGGTTGTAGTCACAATTATTTTCTTGGAAATGGACAACATATTATTTGTCTGAAGCTTGGCCATATAATAAAGTAGCATGTGACTTTGTTGATGGATTAAAGAAATAAAGTAAAACTGCAACGACCCATTTCATCACATGATATGATATTATTCACTTTAAACCTGAGCCCGCACGATTTTACTCTTGAATTTTATCCCAAAATGCCTCATACCAATTGGAGGAGTGGGTCGTTACAAATGGTATCAAAGCCTGACCCAGCCGGAAGTGTGCCGACGGGGACGTCGGGCCTCCAAGGGGGGTAATGACCTTGTAGGCGGGTGTGCCGTGGGCGGGTGCAAGAGACACTGTCAGGCTACCACACTGGCGAGTTACGGGGGCACAGTCCCACATCGCCTGGGTAGAGGAAAGGTAAAGTGCTTATATGTAAGTGTGTCACCTCCAATTGGTATGAAGCCTTTTGGGGTAAAACCCAAGAGTAAAACTGTGCGGGCTCAGGCCCAAAGCGGACAATATCATATCATGTGGTGGAGGGGTAGGGAATGTTGTAAGAATGGAGTTTAAGATATGGAATGTGTAAATTATCTATTTTCGAAGCATGCTCCATCTTAGTTTTGGTTAATCGTTAAGACTAATGATTATATCATTTTTCATTAAATAGGATGTTGGGAGCTGGTAGAGGGCGAGGACGACCTGCTAGAGGCAAAGGTTAGGGAGGTGCCGGTCAGGGCGGTGCAGGCCGCAACATGGCTCAAATGGATGAGGCACTTCAAATGCCAAATCCTAATGCGGAACAAGTTCCCATGATTACGTACATAAGGGACATACACAAATTAGGAGCTATTGAGTTCGTTAGAGCTGCCGATCCACTCGATGCCGAAAAATGGATCGATGCCATGGAAAAATATTTTAAGATGATGGACTGCACTGAAGTGCAGAAAATGATGATAGCTGCATTTTTCTTGTCGGGTGAGGCGCGCCAGTGGTGGCGGACCGTGATTAGGACTACTGTAGATATAGCCGCTATGACTTGGGAAGAATTTAAGACACGGTTCTATAAAAAATATTTTCCACGGTCTGTGAGAGAAAAGAAGGGAATTGAATTCATGGAATTAAAACAGAGCAATACAATGACGATTAGTGACTATGAGACAAAGTTCATGAAACTCTTTCGATTTGCTACTCACATAATGGCTAATGAGAACACAGGATTCGAAAGTTTGAGTAGGGTTTGATCTCCCATGTCAAAAGATTGGTAGTCGGGCATAGGTATGACACTTATGCAAAAGTTGTGGAATGTGCCATGGCAATTGAAGAAAATAACAATAATATTTTTCAAAAGAAAAAAGGAGCAACAGTCAGAAAAGAAAGGAAAAGAAAATGGTACTTTTTAAGAAGCTCAAGGAAGTAAGAGTGATCAGTTCCAACGTGGCCAATGGGCTACAAGCGATGAAAAAAATGGGCAAAAATGAAAACGACAAAGAATTGAAGGTTCTGGACAAATTAAATCAGTAGGGCCAACAAAAATCGGACAGGAGCCATATAAATTCTGGGGAAATTGTTATAATCGTTTGGAAAGCGGACAATATCATACCATGTGGTGAAGTGGGTCGTTACAAATGGTGGAGTGGGTCGTTACAAATGGTATCAGAGTCTGACCCAGCCGGAAGTGTGCCGACGGGGACGTCGGGCCTCCAAGAGGGGTGGATTGTGATGACCTTGTGGGCGGGTATACCGTGGGCTGGTGCGAGAGACACTATTAGGCTACCACACTGGCGAGTTACGGATGCACAGTCTCACATCGCCTGGGTAGAGAAAAGGTGAAGTGCTTATATATAAGTGTGTCACCTCTAATTGGTATGAGGCCTTTTGGGGTAAAACCCAAGAGTAAAACAGTGTAAGTTCAGGTTCAAAGCCGACAATATCATATCATGTGTTGGAGTGGATCGTTACAAAAACAACACATAATTTTTGTGAAATTATTTGCATATACATTTAATTTTTATTTTTTATATAACTGATGTATTGGAGGAAACTGGAAAGTGATAATTAACAAAACTGGAGAGTGATAATTAACAAACCAGGGTGGTATTTGATGGTAAACTGGAGAGTGATAATTAACAAACGAGGGTGATATTTGATACTAAACTGGAGAGTGATAATTAACAAACAAGGGTGGTATGTGATAGTAATATCCACAATTCAATGCATATGTCCATCACAATAAAATTATGTTAATAAATAAAAATAAATCCAATTCCAAATCATCACCGATTCCAAAACATCTCCAAAATTAATTTGATAAGCAAATTTTTAGGAATTGTGTCTAATAGTAATATAAGATTTAAGCTTTAATCAACAAAAAGTCTATAATTTTATTAGGCAGGTCTTGGGAGACCAAGGGATGTGGTCCCTCGATATTGTTGACTTTCACCTATTCAACATGGATGGAAGCGGACATTAACAAGGTACGTTTCCATACGGGGAGCGACTTTCTCAACTGGTAGAGCTTTGCACTACATAGTATCTAAAATTTAAATTTTCTCCTTAAAAAACAAATAATGATAAGTAAAGTAGTTCAAAAATAAAATGTATCTAATTATTTTATGCAAGTACAAAATGACAACATCATATCTAAGTCATAAACATAAAACTCTAAATAATTGTGGAGCACAATGAGAATGTTTTTTTAATGAATCCATTTATTGATAAGCAGCCTCAATCATGGCGGTAACAAACATGTATATATATATATATATATATATATATATATATATATATATAGCTCAAATTGTGATAAAATAAATTCAATTATTTTCTTGTCTAGATTTATATAGATAAAAATGAATGAGACTTTTTTTTTTTTTTTTTATTGTCAATAAGACTTTAATGACAATTTATCAATGACTTTAACCCTCTGTTTAGCTGTGTTTAAAGCTAAACAAAAAATAGATTAAATAATAATAATAATAAACTACTATTGCTAATTTAGAGTTATGAGAACAGTATCAAGTATCTCCCAATACTGTCATATGGACATGGTGCATAGCTTCCACAAATTCATTCCACAAGTAACGCGTTCATTGATAAACCCCTCTGCAAAAAGAGACACTATTTGATCGATGCATGATGGATATTCTTTATACACCTACACACGAAGAAATTATGTAACATATTAGAGAGAGTTAATCACACAACTATATTATGTGCAAAAGGAATAATATATCCATCCATAAGTTGGCGTCCAAGTGGATACTTACTTGATCATTAGCCGTATTGAACAAATGGTAAAATGCCCACGAAAATGTAAGAGGACATTTGTTTTCCAGATGAGGACCAGCCCGCATTGACACCCTCGCAACTTTCCTCAGTTGCTCACGTGCTAAAGGATCGAAAAAAACTATCTCATCCATGCGATTCAGCAACTCAAACCTAAAGCCTCTTTTTTCCTGCTAAATGAATCAAACAGACAGCAGAGAGTATTTAAAATGACAAACAAGCACGATAAAGTAATATCTAAGTCTTGCCACAATCAGGACCACTACTTGGCTGTTTCTATTTATTTACCTGTTCCGCGGCCCCGTCCCAAACACTACCTTGATCAGGATGCCCAACAAGTCGCGGAAGAATTGCCTTGTTTCCCAGATCCGAGGCAAAAATGACAATAGTGTTTTTGAAGTCCACTGTATCTCCTCCATTGATACTAAAATTACCATTATCAAGGATTGAGAGTAAAGCACTGAAAATGGACATGTGGGCCTTTTCTACCTCAGAAAAGAAAAGGATGCTGTGTGGCCTCATTCTAACGGCCCCTAAGAGTGACAAACCACCTTGCTCATGGCCACTATACAAGAATACCACAAAAATGATCAGTCACATGGTAACAATAGAATGAACTCACATACATGTAATTTAAACATTTCAAACAACCAAATGAGAATTAACAAGAAATCTTACTTTGGAATTTCCAACGGTCCATTTAAGAACCGGCAAAGTGAGTCTGGTTCTCTGTATTCAGACAAGTCAATTTTAATAAGCAGATTCATCCCATTATCAGCAACAAGATGCTCGGCTAGACAGTCTACTAAATCTGCTTCACCAGCCTTCGTGAGACCCAAGAATAAGAATGACATAGCAGGTCGATGTGGCAGATCATGCTGTGCATCAATAGATTTCAATAGTGCCTCTACTACAACATCAGTTGCCTGATTTTGTCGAACCATTCTAGTCAATCTCATCGGAAGTCCCTGTACTCCATTCTTAGAACTCTTGTAAAGCGTTTCTCTCAGCTTATGCTCAACTTTCTCATTTAAGGAGTTCGAATGCACCTACAAGAAGACATTGAAAAAGAAGAATGAAAAGCAGAATACGCATGAATCCAATGAATAATTCATGTTATTTAAATCAAAAGGAGAGACCAGGCCTTAATGAAAACCATTATAAGTACCATTTTCTGCTCAAGGGCCATAAGGTTGATGTCAACTGCATTTTTTATGAGAGCATCTAATGTCTTGACCAGCGCTCGAGCAACCTCTGCAACAGAGTCCAAATCTGTCCTATCCTCTGCATCTGGTAAATTCATCAGTTCAAACAAATTTCTTCTCAACAAGTAGATCTTGTTGACTCGTTCTTTCTCTTTCAAATACATAGCTCTTAATCCCCTTAAAGATTCTTTAAACAGCTTCATAAACAGATTTTCCGCTTGATAGCCACCTTTCTCTGATCTATAAGACAACTCATGTTGTCCCACCAGCTTATCAATGTAAACCGTGGACATATCATCTCTCTCATTGTTTGCAAGCATATCAGATAACAAAGGGACCAAATTCTCTTCTAGCCAAATCCGCATAGCACGTCCACCCATCTAAGACAATAAGAGAAGCAATTAATACAAGTCCATAGACTTCAAACACCTCAAAAGAAAGCGTATATAAAGCATAATTAAGGTGTCTCCAGCCCTCATATTATTCACTTGTACTCTGACAGTTATAGTGCCGTTAATCACAGCTGACATTAAATGAAATAACACAAACAAGTATTTCCTTAAAACCCTTAGTCTAATGTTCATGTATTATCATTGACTCTTTTTCCAGCCTACTTTGTGTAAATGGAGAAAGTTCAGAATTGAGAACAAAATTAGACAAATATACTGGTCACTGGAGACCACTAAGAAGTCTAGCATGTGTAATCATGCCATAAACTAAAGAGGAGGGATATTATGAGAGCCCATCTGATGACAAGATGTATGAGCTCTTCTTATTTAGCCATTGGATTAAGACAGTTTATTGAGATTTGTGAAAAGTCAACTGAGCTTTTTAATGAATCTTTTAAGTCATTGGTTAAGCAAGGAGAGCTCATCGCGAGGGGGCTCTCATGGTTTAATATATATATATTCAAAAATTGACTATCCCAAAATGTTTCTTAGTCTTGTCTTTGAGTATCAAGACGTGCCCTTGCCATGTCCATCTCAAAAAAATAATAATCATTTAATAATGTGGACATTTTAAGCCATGTCGGACACATGTCCAGCGGTGTCCGTGTCGGTGTTGTACACGTGTCCTACATCACCACACTACCTCCTATCTCGGACAGAATGTCCGAGCCTCCTAGTATCTAATTAACCCAAAATATAAAACAAAGAGCCTTTTACAACACTTAATTTTCCTATTTCTTTATTTTTTTCTTTCTAAATGATTTTCTCCTAGTAAATTCTCTTTCCCTTTTCCAACAAAGCCCTAATTTTAGAAAAGGTTAAGAAATTCTACTTAATCCAACCCTCTCTCTCCCTCCTCTCTTTTTTTTTTTTTTTCAAAAAAAAAAAAAAAAACAACTGCAACATATTGTTGTTTAGCTATGGATTTAGATTAAAACAAATTTAGAAACTATACTTCAGCCTGTTCTCTCTTCTATTTTATCTAATTAAACAAGAGAATGGAAACTTACTTTATGTTGTTTTGACTTGCCCAACATATAACGGAGTGCAGCATCAGATGGGTATAAAATCAGCCTTTTCCCAGTCTGGGTCCTCGTGGAGCTGGCTATTTCCCTCATCTGGAGCCTGGTATCAGCCATACACTGCTCAAAAGAAAAATTCTTAAAGAGAATCACACCATCCAGTTCTCTGAAATGTCTGAAATGTTTTCTCGCCTGTAATTCCAGACAGCAAAGATATCAGGCACTGTAATAGTTTGGTTAAAAACCTAATGCATAAAAAAGAAATTTGAACTAACACATAATTAAAGAACACTAAAAAACCAATCCCTTGTGTGCTTCTTCAAACCAGTAGATGTGTTATTTACAACAACTTACCTCGCACAATTGCATTTCCACCCCTGGATTTTACCATCCATAACATTTGATGTCATGATAATCACTGTTTTGGTGAAGTCAGTGGTGCCTCCTTCGCCATTTGATACACTGCCATTGGTAATGATCTCAATCAGAACGTCAGTAACAAAAGGATGAGCCCTATCAACATTGTCAAGCAACACTACGGCGAAAGGCATCCTCTTAACAGCTTCTGTGAGCAGTCCTTCACGATAACAGGAACTGGAAAATCGAACATAAAACAAAAAAATTAGCCCCTTATATAGAATACTGAGCAAAAACAATCGAAAGAGACCATTCAGACAGATTATAACCTGGGGCTGGAGGGAAAACCAATAAGACGTGAGGCAGATTGTGAGTCCGAGTATTCTGACAAGTCGAATGCTATCAACCTTCCACTGTCATCAAAAAGTTGCCGGGCAAGAGATTTGGCAATCTCTGTCCATCCCGAAAAAAGGCCATTTAAAAAAAGAAATGATCCAATTGGGCGAGAACCAACTCTACACCTTGACAATACATTGCTAATGACAAATGGAACATGTTCTTGTCCAATCATCCCTTTAGCCAGTCTTGGTTCGAAGCCCTGAAGTGGCAGCTCCGGAAAATGAAGGAGCCAAGAAGCAGGAATCCCAGTCAAAGGACTTGCTACCTGCATCAATGTCCGTCATTGAATAGATGAAATATGTTATCAAAGCACCAGACTTCATATTTAGAATTAGATATCAAACATCACGAGTTTAATAAAAAGTGAAGAATACAAAATCATACATACCTCTGCAATTAGACTTGCAGTAACAGTCAGGTTTTGCTTAAATTTTTTGTGAATCGTTAGCATGGGGTAGACAGGTATTGAACCACTGGAAAGAGTGTGGTTGATTCCATCCCATTCACACCTTCTACCTCCTGTAAACATGAAACCAACATGTGGCGCGCTCCTTCCAACATGTCTATTTCTTCATCTCTTTCTTTTGAGCTCCTCATCGTGGGTTTCCACTTCCTCACAAACCTATCCAACTTGTTTATTAAATCTTCAAAATCCTTTTTAACCTGAAGCCAAAAAAATAATAAAAACCCAACCAACATTGACTAAATATATATGTTATGTTCATATTAGTTCTATGTATGAAAGCATACTTACATAAGGAAACCAAAACTTGCTAGCAGGGTCCTTCTCTCTCTTGATCTCCTCCATTTCAACAAGTGTACAACAAAATGAGTACTCATCAAAATCCAAAGCCTCCTCTTCCACATTCGCGCCTAAATCAAGTTTCAATTTCACACAGGCTTTTTCCACAATCTCCATCTCCTTCTTTTTCAGGACAACCTCAAGATTGTCACAAACCCCTCTTTCGTCAGACAGCAGAACTGAAGAAATAACAGGAAAACATGAATAACAAGCATTATATATCAATATATATTGAATTTATTTTCAATATATAAGAAATCAGTGGAGGGAGGCCAAACAAACCCAAACCTACCATCAGTGTATCTCATGGTGATGTTACAAGCAAGAACTACAGCATCAGGGTGAATTTCAACACCATAAGCGGTCTCCAATATATCCTTGTAGTCTACCTCATTGTTCCTCAGAATTTTAATCATCCATGGTTCCATATCTACCACTTAGAAGCCCTAAAACAATTATTTATACATAAACAAGTAATTATGTTAAAATTCCAAGGACTAACTTACTTTCAGGTACACACAAGCAATTTTTTTTTTTTTTTTTTTTTCAGACACACAAGCAATTATTTGTATATATTTGTGTATTTCAAATATATATATAATATATGTCCAGAATCGGGAATCAGTAGGTGCATTTGTGTTTTGTACATATATGGATTAAAAGAAGGAATAATAATAATAATAATAAGTTCACAGTAGAGAACAAACGAAAATCAGATTATCAGAGTTTTACCCCAAGCAGAGTCCGATGGATTTGGAGAGTGCAAAAAACCCCTAACCAAAGACGATAAACGTTGAGCTGGATGGATTCGCAGAGTGCCAAAAAAACCAACCAAAGACGAAGAACGTTTTCGGCAGTTCTTCTATTTTCCGCCAAATCACACTAAAGTTGTGTGACTTGTGAAGACCAAGGTTTTGACCTGTGAAGACCAGTCAAATCACACTAAAGTTGCGACTTGTGAAGACCAAAGTAATGACTTGTGACTTGTGACTCGTGCCTCGTGACTCGTGAAGACCAGCCAAATCACACTAAAGTTGCGACTTGTGAAGACTGACTTCTGACTTGTGAAGACAAGCCAAATCACACTAAAGTTGTGACTTGTGAAGACCAGTCAATGCATCCATCCTATTACTCGAATATGAATTAAATTAAAAATCCTATAATTCAATTATGATCCTATAAAAAAATCCTTACATGACTAAAATCTAATCCGATGAGAATTGGCGAAATTTACGAATATTTAAAAATTGATTAACCGAGAGGTTATTTATATTTTATTTATATTATATTAATAAAAGTATAAAGAGTTTTCGGACATTTTTTATTTTTTATTTATACTGCATTTTGAATAATAAATTTACCTTTTTTTAAAAAAAATTCTATTACTAATTAAACCATTATTGTTCTAACGTTTTCCTTTTTTTTCCTAATTCACGTTCTGTTTCTAACTTCTTCTTTTCTTTTCTTTTCTTTTTTTTTTTTAACTCTTCCTATTTGGATTCTCCAATTTACCTCGAAAAAAGGCCTTAGTGCGCTAAACTCCTTTCCTTTTTTGGAGCGCCCATAATTTATTAACGGTAGCAAATTACCCATTATTTGACTAATTGAGGACTAATTGGAGTTAAATATGACATAAAATTACACCCAAAAAAATCTATAAATAAGGAACTTAGCATTCACGTTTCCTGCCATCTAACACTTTGTAACTAATCATCTAAGGTAAAGGTGTGTTGAATTGCAATGACTATATTATTATTATTATTATTATTATTATTATTATTTTGCCATAAATTGTACAGACAATGCATTTGTTGCTTCAATTATTTATTTATTTTAAGTTCCTTATTTATAAATTTTATGTAATTTTATATTATATCTCAACTTCAATTAGTCCTCAATTAGCCAAATAGAAGTACCTTGGTACAGTTGGTAAATTGTGTTGCTCAAAAAAAAAAAAAAAAAAAAAAAAAAAAAAAAAAAAAAAAAAAAAAAAAGGAAGAAAAAGAAGAAGAAAGGAGGGAGTATTTTGCAACATTTTGAAACCAACGGGGAGTTTAGTGCACTAAGGCCTAAAAAATAATATTATAATTTTTAGGATAATTTACACTGACACTCTTCAAATTTGGGTTTAATACAGTTAATTACAACTTAGGCACTCTTTGAACAATGACACCTCTGATTTGCAAAATTAAACACAAATTTTGAGTCAATGTAACTAGGTGTATTAAACCCAAACTTGGAAGGTGTCAATGTAAATTTTTCTAATTTTTATTTCTATAATGTGTAACACAAACTCTTTCTGAATAAAAATAATTTACCTTTTTCTTAATTCTATTTTCTTTATACTTTCATAAATAATAATTTATAACTCTTGCTCAATTTACCTTAAAAAAATATAAATAATTTTCAATAATTTGTTTTATCTATATTGCATTTTTAATAATAAGCTTACCTTTTCTTTTTTAAATTATATTCCCATTCTAACTCTTTCCTTTTTTCTTTTTCTTTTTTTCCTAATTTTATTCTCTTTCTAACTCTTTCCTTTATCTTCTTTTGTTTTTTTTCCCAATTTTATTCTCTTTCTAACTCTTTCCTTTTTCTTTTTCTTTTTTTTCTTTCTAATTTTTACATAAAATGACCATTTTACCCTTATCAACCCTATGGACCTAGAGGGAGCCCGTATCACTTTTTCATGATCCGATTTGGTTAGAAACAATTGGTGTGCCATCATTATGACTCCTAGAATATGGGAAGTTACATAATGACCATTTTGCCCTTAGTGCCATCGTGTTGGGTTAGGACACGGGTAGCGATTCGGATATACGGATTTGGGTTGTTACATCCTTAAATTGCTCTTCAACACTCGGATATATGGATTTGGGTTGTTACATCCTTAAATTGCTCTTCAACACTTTTGACATTCATCTCTCTCACACGGACAGAGACAATGCCTCCTTCTATCTCCTATAGATTTCTCTATTTCCATTGCACTGAAATTTGTTGCCCAAAGAAGGACCCTAGAGGGGAGGGGAATATAGTATTTTAACAAACCATAGGTAATTTACACAGACCTCCCCTATGGTTTGCCATAATTACAAGCGGCACCCCTCCTATTCCGAAAATTACACGGACCTCCCCTACTCTTAAAAATATCCTACACGGACCTCCCTTTTGTTAGAGTCAACGGCAGTCAACAACGAAAAATGATGACGTCATCTACCAATTTTAGTAAAATCCCTAAAATACCCTTGTCCCTACCAATTGAGATATATATATATATATATATATATATATATATATATATATATGATACTATATGTGTATGCCACCTGTGTGTATGATACTATATGTGTATGCCACCTCCTTTGAGTTGATGATGACGACGACGTTGATAGAGGATTACGATCCGCAACAGGTTCTTCGGTACCATAGTCTAACGCCAAATGGAAGATCTCTGATGGTCGCTTCTAACCCAATCCCCAAGACATTGTTACGGAAATTCAACTATTTTGATTCAATGAAGATCGAATCCAACTCAATTCAAGAATTTAATCGACCATTTGAGTTAAATGTTTGAAGAACCTTGTGTGAGTGAAATTAAGGTTTAAAAGATAGATTGTGCCCGACATTAATAGCAAGATTAGGGCTATATATATGTGTGTTTATGTGTGTGTTTTGTGTGTAGGGAGAGAGAGAATGTAATTGGAAAATGCAGATCAGAAAGTGAAAGTGAATGCACTGTAAGTTATAAAGCTGTTTCTTTTCGTTGTCGCAATTTGCAATTGAACCAAGCCGCAATGATGCCATCTCAGTCAAGGTAATGATTTGAAGATGACTTCACCTGATTAATGGAATACATATACAATTTCATTTGCGCTGTATTCATCATTTATTTCATTGTTGTGATTCTTGGTTTATATATTATAATAATAAATGATCATACTCTCTCTGTAACCTCTCTTAATTGTGTTTTTGTAGTTAAATATTGATTTGGTTGATATGATTAATTTTTTGGTTTGTGGGTGTTGGTTATTTGTAGTTTTTAAGTACAAGAATGGATCAGACTCTGTTCTGGTTGTGAAGAAAGAAGATTATGAAAAATGCAACACAGAGAAGCCGATCATGAAGATGGACGATGGTGATTCAGTCGTCAAGTTTAATCGGTCGGGTCCATTCTTCTTCATCAGTGGAAACAAAGATAATTGCCAAAAGGGTCAGAAGCTCATCATTGTTGTTTTGGCAGTCAGAAACCATCACAAGTCTCCCCCGGTGGCCATACCTCCGGTGTCGGTGGGTTAGACTCCGGCATCGTCACCATCACCAACAAAGTCCTCCCCTTTGACGGCCCCAGCTACAACACCATCTCCAATTTCTCACATTCCATCGGCAACGTCACCGTCACCCACAGGATCCTCCCCTTCGTTGGCCCCAGCCACAACACCCGTACTGTCACCATTTCTAATTTCTCACACTCCGCCAGCAACGTCACCCATCTCTCCATCTTCGGTGACTATGCCTCCAGTAAGTTCTCTAGTTCCAACTATGACACCCAAATCGCCTTCTCCGGCAACCCACTCCCCGGTCCCGATCATGAAGATGGACGATGGTGATTCAGTCTTCAAGTTTGATCGGTCGGGTCCATTCTTCTTCATCAGTGGAAACAAAGATAATTGCCAAAAGGGTCAGAAGCTCATCGTTGTTGTTCTGGCAGTCAGAAACCAACACAAATCTCCCCCGGTGGCCATATCTCCGGCGTCGGTGGGTCAAACTCCGGCATCGTCACCGTCACCAACAAAGTCCTCCCCTTTGCCAGCCCCAGCTACAACACCATCTCCAATTTCTCACACTCCGTCGTCAACGTCACCGTCACCCACAGGATCCTCCCCTTCGTTGGCCCCAGCCACAACACTCATACTGTCACCATCTTTAATTCTCACACTCCGCTGGCAACGTCACCCATCTCTCCATCTCCGGTGACTATGCCTCTAGTAAGTTCTCCGGTTCCAACTATGACACCCAAATCGCCTTCTCCGGCGACCCACTCCCCGGTCCCGTCTCTAACCTCAGTTGTCTCACCGTCTATTGCACCAGTAGTTGTTGAGGTTACGTAGGACGATGAATTGATAGTAAGTAGATCTCATGGTTGTCTTGTGGACTGTGTAAGAGTGTGTTTGAGGTTGGACCTGAGGACAGGAACGACGTCTGTGTTGAGACTGGATTGATGATGAGAATAGCCTGGCCAACTATTCCTCCTGAGTCAGTCCATTTTTAGCATGATGTCTGGTCAAAGGTCCATGATTGTTTTGGTTAAGTCAAGGGCAATGAGAGCATAGCATTGTATGTTTTGTTGGTGTGACAGTGTGAATTTCGATGGTTTGTCTCGGGTGACGGGTGTGTTAGGACCAAGTGACCGATAAAAAAAGGGTTTGTGGTAAAATCATTGATTATTGAGGATCTTGTTTTGGGGATTTGTGTCCAGAATACAGGATAGTATGTTTTATTGTTTTGATGACTCATGGTTATGTAGTCGTTGGGAAATCTGTCGTTTTGTCTTCTGGAAGTTGTTTAGTATGATGATTGTCATATGGTGCGGTGGTATAGCTATACGGTAGATAGCGAGTGCTTGGCTCGACAGGGACGTGTAGATTTAAGTTTGAGCTTGATTGTGTGATGGATGGGGTTCCTTGTCTGGGATTTTGTGTGTCTTTTAAATGATGGGCTGAGATAGGATACTGTCATGTTCAGGGGTCTTGTGACCGTTTTTCTTTAGAGCTCCAAAGTCTTGTGTAACAGTGCAGAGTGGACCGATGTCCGTTTTGAGTCGAGTCGAGTATAGCGTAGGGCGTACCAGATGGTCCGGTGTTTTGATGTTGTGAGTGATGAGTACCCTCATAGGGTGGTGAGCATAGGGTTATTCTGACGACAGTGTATGATTACCTATTGGCATTGGGTGTCAAAGGTAACAAAGTTGTTGAGTTCTTAGTCTCGAGGTTGGTAAGGTGTTCTCGGAAGGTGTGTGACTGTGAGTTTCCTTCTTTAAGGAGGGTATTTTTCGAGAATGAAATCTTTTAAGGAGGGTAGATTGTAATATTTCTGAATCTCACTATTTTTCATTTTTTTGGAATTTTTCGTTCATGCAAGGGCATTCTTATCTTTTCTCGTTTGGCGTGCCGGTTGTGTCCGAGAGTTGGTTGGGACATTTCATTGAGTCCAGGACTCTTCGAAATGCTAAGGTTGTCATTTTTGCATTTTTTTCGTTTTTCGGGCCGAACGGTTCCGTGTGGGACCCGTTGTTGGAACTATCGCATACGGGGATTTTAGTTGAGTCCAATTGCATCACATTTATTTATTTAATGTATTTATTTAATGTGCTATGTGTGGTTGTAATTTATTATGTGTGTATGTATATAATTAAGTGTGGTGGAAAATTAATTTGAAAAGAAAAGAAAAATTCAAAAGGAATAATGGTGGGACCCACCACTTATCCTTAAAGGGTTTAGAGACCAAGTTTGGTCTCCATTTTCTCTCTCCCTCATTTCTTGATTTTTTTTTCTTTTATTTTTCTCATCAAAGATTCAAACTTTGATCTCTTCTTCATCTTTTGGAGTTTTAAAGTACCATTTGCGGCAAATTAAAGAGCGCATCGTGATCTTCAATTTGATCGGAGCAATTCCTCTTTTGGTACACCTTATGGTTTCGAAATTCTAGGGCTTGGATTTGGAAAAAATTTGGGCTTTTCATCAATTTAAGGTAGGGGTGCTCTAATCCACAATTTCTTAGATTTCTTGGAAAATTTTCCTTTAATTTGACTCTAAGCATGCTTAATTGTAATTATCTTGATTATGTTTGTTATGGTTGTTGGTATTTAAGGTGATAAAGGCATGCTATGTGTTAAGTGAGCTTATAAATATGATTAAATTCTTGTGGTGAAGAAATATGCTTAGTGTTGATGTAATTATATGTCATATGATTTTAAATTGCTATGAAAAGTGATGTTGTAATTATGAAAATAAATGACTTTATTTTATGCCTTACGTATTTAAGTTATTGGACTTGCAAATTGAAAGTATGTAAAATGCCATGATTTAGAAATATGATAATATGATATTGTACGGAAATTTATGTTTTAAACATGTTTGAATGATGTGTATGAAATTTCTATATTGTCATAGCATTGAAGGATTTGCATAATTCATGCATTACTATTGGGAAAATAAATGGAAAAGCTTGTTTTAAAAACAAATGAAATTGTTTTTGGGAAAAGTTTTTTTTGAAAAATGTTTGTGAAAACCGGACGCCTAGGAGGCGTCTAGCAGTCCGTGTTGTTAGTGTAGTCTAGAAGGGAGTATGGTTGAGCTAACTAGGCCGGATGCGACGCCTTAGAAGTGCCTTGTGGTCTTGGATAGTTAGTCAACTCTCCATTCGTGACGCCTTGGAGGTGCCTTAGGTCGGATTGCACTAACGGTTTAAAAGTTGAAACGGTATTGTTTCGAAAATGGGGAGCGACATGGCATGACAAGGCATTTCATTGGCATACATTGTACATTTGGTGGTTAGACGACTTGCGTTTATATTTGTTGATATTATCGTTGTTTTACTTGTTTTCCCCGAGACGTGATCCCATGTACTTGTACTCTATTCCTTATGTGGATTCACGGAGTCATAAGAAGTGTATTTTAGACACTTCCTACTGAGCATTTAGCTCACCCCATTATTTTAACATTTTTCAGGATACGAGAAGTTTTCAGGATACGAGAAGGAAGTGGCGTACGACACTCCTCCACATGTTTTGATAGGTTAGTAGACTGTTTGATATACTTTGTAACCATGGTCTCATTTTATTATTGTTATTCATTTATTTTATTTTATTTATAAACTTTGGGATGACACGTATATTAAGTATTAACATAGGAAAGGACGGTAATGTCTTTAGTTGACCTCGGGTTCAGGTAAGGATCCGGTTAGCAATTCGGACCCTCGAGTCGGGTCGTTATAGGATTTCTCGCCCAAATTCGCTAGGCCAAGTGTCATGTTTTCCAACCCCGAGAACTCTGTTCCCACTTAGTTTTACCCGAGGCAATCCCAAAATCCACAAGTAATTCTCACAGAGTAGCACATATCGTAATTACCACATTTTATAGCACCTCACAAGTGCACTTAATAATAAATGTATTTAAACACCTATCACATGCTCTTTTTATTATGATATTAAATAGCATGCATTTAGGCCCACACCCATCATCATCATACATTTCAACAATTCAAGAATACTTCTCAAGCATTTTGACACACAGTATGTGAGCAAAGGATATAGCATTGTATAAGGAAATCACATGAAGCAAGAACACATCCTTGATAGCGCATAAAAGTCACTTCAGGCTTGTAAACCCCCTCTATACATAATGTATTAAACTTATAAGACAAGTAATACATCAACTGTAACCTCCCACACCTAAACAAAGCTCATAGTCAATGGCAATTTATCAATTTCAAAAAAGACATGGGTTTCATCACATATGACACATGGAATTCGCATTTATCAATTCCATATTGTCAATAACATGACAACACAATTAGCTTTCCACCCGCGGGAACGGATCCTTTTCAAGAAAAATTCTTTCCTAACATCTAGGGGTATTAATCCTACGACCACTAAGGCGTCACGTCAATTACTTCTTTGACTCACTAAATATATTGAAAGTTACTGCATTTACTTAAAACATCTAACTATGTTAAATTACATGTTTACCCACATTAAAAAAAAAACTCTCTCTCTCTCTCTCTCTCTCTCGTTTCTTCCTTCTCTCTTCTATATATAACACACACACATATATATGTATACATGACTAGAACAGACCCACTTTGCTCCTTTTCTTGATCCGCCATTGACAACTCTCTGTCTCTCAAACCTTCAATTAACAAAACTGTTTAAGCTTGAAGCCTTCGAATCAATTAATAATTCCAATGCTTGGTGATGGCAATCAACAAAACTGTTCAAACTCTTAAATATATATTATTAGAGAACTATAATTAAATTTCCTAAATCGGATATAAATACAAGTAGAAGGATCATAATCAATTTAATTGGAATTGACAAAAATAAAAAATAAAAAAGCAATTCAACAGTAAAGAAGAGAATTGAATAGTATATAATCTGTAGATATACATATATATATATCTAGCCATGTGTATATATATATATATAGGAGAGAGAAGGAAGAGACGAAAAAGAGAAAAAAAAGTTTTTTTAATGTAGGTAACCTGTTATTTAACATAGTTAGATATTTTAAGTAAATACAGTAACTTTTTAATATATTTAGTGGGTCAAAGAAGTAGTTGACGTGGCGTCTTAGTAGTAGTAGGATTAAAACTTGTAAATGCTAGGAGAGAATTGTAGATGCTAGGAGAGAATTTTTCTTGGAGATAATCTTATTATAAGAAGAACTTAGAACATATCAATTCATCTATAACGCGTATTTCATCAAATAAAGTATACAAGGTACAAACACAAGAAATTCAGCATAATAATCCTACAAATTAAACATTTGTAAATAATTATCTTATTATTTTTAAATTTTTAGAGTATTAAAAAAATTCATAAAAAATATTTAACAAATTAAAATGATAATATATAAAGTAAAAATTGGGACTTATTTTTGAGGCTCTCGTGCTTCCACTCAAGGAAAACGTTGTAGTTTAGCCAGCCAGCGGCAGACTACAAACTGAGACCAGGGAAAATTTAGTAATTTCTCCATAACCTCCCTAAAATTTATGATAATTGTAGAATTCAGAAAGTTGGTTTGTGTTTCACAAAATATCAGCACTGCAATCTATTAACCAACAGCTGACCAATTGTTTATCAGGTCCATTATAGCTAAAACCCATATTGCTAACTGAAAATGCCTACAGTGATAGAATTGATAATGAGAAGTCAATGTCTTACCATTTGATATCAGGTCAGGGTATGAGGCAGACAACATGAAAATCTATCCTTAACCTTCTTTTGGCACCATTTTAACAGAGAGGCTGTTCAAATTTTACCCATTATACGAATCAATAGACTCTGAATTTCAAACATAACTAAAAGAATTCAGTTCAGGTTCATCCATGCTAAAATTAATCTTCAAACTCTGACAAAACCCTCGAGATTTATAGATTAAAATCATCTATTGGAACCTAGGTTCGTGATATCTACACTGAAAGCAGCTCAAAATCAAATCAAATCAAAAGATAAATGTTGCCAACCTATAATTAACCAACAATACAGACCCATAATGAACAGAAAAAGAAAGAGCCCCTAAAGTTAGCACAGATATCAGATATGGGGTAGAAAGTTCAAAGGTACCAGCAACATATGGTATGTTGAATTTGAATCATTCTTTCTCCCTATTTGAAACTGTCAAACCCAAAATATGAAAAGGGTTGAAAACAATAGTTGAATATCATCACCGAAACACTGTTATGGTCTCGTAAATATAAATCTTCAACAATTACCTCCTTCAACATCATGTCACATTTCACATATATTAAATCTTCAAATATCCTCCAAAAATATTCCAAATTTGGATCACTAACAAAACCAAAATAAAATTAAAATAATAATAATAATAATAGAAACCAAATCACATATAGAGTCATATGGCAAGAAGATGTATATATACTGAAATCATATTCAATTCGACAAAGTCAACATTAGAACCCAAGAGCAGTAAGACGAAACAATAGAACATTTAGAAACTATCTACTCATTAAAGAGTGTCTTCACAAGCCAACTACCACAACAACCTAATAAACTAAAATGCAGGGATTTCAGAAATCACCACCACGGAGACGAAGGACAAGGTGAAGGGTCGACTCCTTCTGTATGTTGTAATCAGCAAGAGTGCGCCCATCCTCGAGCTGCTTACCAGCAAAGATCAATCTCTGCTGATCTGGCGGAATACCCTCCTTGTCTTGGATCTTGGCTTTCACGTTATCGATCGTGTCGGAGCTTTCGACCTCGAGCGTGATGGTCTTGCCAGTTAGGGTTTTGACGAAGATCTGCATACCTCCGCGAAGCCTGAGAACGAGATGGAGAGTCGACTCCTTCTGGATGTTGTAATCGGCGAGAGTTCGGCCGTCCTCGAGCTGTTTGCCGGCGAAGATCAATCTCTGTTGGTCCGGAGGAATTCCTTCCTTGTCTTGAATCTTAGCTTTCACGTTGTCGATTGTGTCAGAGCTTTCGACCTCGAGAGTGATGGTCTTGCCGGTTAGGGTTTTGACAAAGATCTGCATCTGGAATTATAAAAAATAAAAAATAAACTAAATAAATCGATTATACAACAGATCTGTAACAAAAACTTGTAACAAGAACTGATCTCTACCTTGAAGAAAAGAAAGAAGTTTGCTTTTGAAGAAGAGAGAGAAAGTTATCGAATTGAATGAGAGAACAATTCGAAGGATGAAAAGCAATGTATCAGCGATTTGTATTTATAGACTTCGAGTAGGAATGAGAGAGGGGCATATCCGGAAATAAGGAGAAATAAGCGGTCAATAGGGACGGTGAGTCTATAGGACCTAGAATTATCTGGACTATTCTTTTGGTTGAGCTCGCGAGAAACCAAGTTTTATTTTAAAAAGGAACAAATTTAGTTAGGAAAAAACCATATTTCTCTTTTTCCTTTTCCCTTTTCCCTTTTCCCTTTGCCATAGTGTTTATAAGGAAATAATTAGGAAAGGAAATAAAATTAAAATCAAAATATAGGAGGAAAAAGAAAAAAAATTTAAAATCAAAATACATTTAAATCTTACTAATTTGTTGTTGATTTTCAATTTAAAAATTGACCATTTGAATTTTCAATGGCTGGAAATTTGTTGTTGATTTCCAATTTGAATTTGAATGGCCTGAAATTGACTAGGTGTGTTCTGGACAAAAATCTGTTTTAGTGTGCCTCTCACGGACTTTGTCCGATAAGGATCCAAGAGTAGCCCAGTCAGCAACTTAGTCAGCAAATTTACTAATATATTATTTTTTTTTACCACATATACTAATACCCCATATAACATATACTTATACATTATAAGTATAACAATATATTATATACAAAAAATATTTTATTTCATTAACTTTACCTTTTTCTGTAAAAATTATAAAACTTAAACATTGATTATGTGTGGCTACAGTTCAGCATCTAAATATAAATTTATTTGAAATTTTAAGGTTTTGAAATAATGGACTAATTATATAGATTTTAGGGTTCGGAATTGTGAAATTGAGTTGTGAAAGATAATTTTTTTAACGGATTAAGAATATATGTTGATGTTATATGTAATTCATACATGATACATGTTTAAAAAAATTATGATAATAATAATTTGATCTCTCCAACTTTTGTATTGTATGCAGTTATAAAAAATAGATAATGGAATATGCAAATCTTCCTACATATATGTTGAAAGTATTTGTGATTCTTATTATTAATTTAGGAATTGTGAAATTGAGTTATGCAAGTTAATTTTTTTAACGTGTTAGAAAAATATGTTATTGCAATATGCAATTCATACACTATACATGTTTAAATAAGTTGTGAACATAATAAATTGATCTGTCCAACTTTTGTACTGTATGCTGTTAGAAAAAGTAGGTGAAGAACCCAACCTTCAAATTTTTTTATTACCAATAATTACCACCGAATTGCCGCCATATAAGATAAACTTTGATATATCATAATGAATAAAATTAGAATAAATTTTATTTGGGAGAATCTCTCCTTATGGGAAATTTGAGCTTCTTGCTGGAATATATGGTGATTTTTTTTATTAGATCTCCTTTTGTTTGTTTTAAAAGAGAAATAGACTGGGAGATCATTTTGCTTATTTGTACGTCCTCAGTTCATCTTCTTCACCGGATAATCTGACACTTCTTCTTCTTAAAAATCTTTATGTTTATGGATAAGAAACTCTTTTTATGTTTATATGTAAGAAACTCCCTTAGTTGCCTTGTCTGAATCGGTACTAATGATCTTGGATGAGGTTGAGTTTGGATATTTCAAATTTCAGAGGGGGATTTCCTATTTGATATTTCAGACTCAGTATATATATAGTAGAGTTTTGGGAGAAAGTCAACTTTTCTTTTGTGGGAAATTGAAAATTAAAACCCAAATACAATTTTAGAAAGATGCAATAATACGGTATATAAAGAAGATGTATAAATTACATGTATAAGACATAATATGGTAAATACTCCTTTAACCAATTTGCCAACTCAGCCAGCAGTGGACCATTGGATTTTTTGTCATTTTTGTTTCTTTTCTACCCATTTCAAAATTAACACCCACAGGATGTGGTGTAATAGGAGCATGTGATGCTTGTGACCAAAGACCCAAGTTCAAATCTCGTTCTATCATAAAGCACAACGAGAGAGAGTGAGTCTCTTCATAACAACAACGACGTTGTTGTTATGATATTATTAGAAACACGGCTATTTGTTGCGATAGGCAACCATCGCAATACTCATGACATGGGAATTGTGAGACATTATCACTCGTGATGGACTCCACTCTACAAGAGTTTGGAGTTGTCAAGTAAAAAAACTCCAAACTTAGAAGCCTAAGTCATAGACATTTAATCATATAATAGACTCTCATCTACGTCCACATTGGTAGCTTAAACAATAGACTGTCATATGTATATTTTCGTATGTATTTTTTTATACAGTATATGTATGTCAATTAGTACATTAGATTCTAGACACAGTCACACAGCTCTTTGTTTTCTATTTTTTCTTTGGGTTAAAATTAGTGGAGTATATTACATCATAATTTATTAAATTGATGATTTATTTCCTACTCTGGTGGGAATGTTTGAGCTTAAACCAAAGTGTCTCCAAAAGTTGATTTTTTATAAGTGATGTCTTATTACTTTGGAACTCTCCGTGTGTGTGTGTGTCTCTCTCTCACTGACACACAAAAACACACACAGTTGACTTTATTAGGCAAACTTTGAAGTTTTTTTAGAATAATGAGACTTCCAGAATCCAGAAGACGCTAACAACGAAGTTCAAAGTGCGGAGCATGTTAATTAAGGCTTTTCATAAAGTTTGTACCCATAATAACCTCATAAAAATTGGATTTAGGTTTCAAGATGACAAATTTTGATTAATTTTAAGCACAAGTCTCTTAAAACTGCTAGTAAAACACACAGTGTGTATATATATATATATTGCATTAAGTAGTGCTCACATCATATGCATTGTTCAATGTAATTAAATTCCTGGATATATATTTAGGTTAGAGCAATGTTATACATTTTGAATAAAATTCAAGGTGTGTGTCTTGAATATGATGTGACATTAATTAAACAACGAATATATCCTCAATTTCAATAGATATTATATTTTTCTTTTTCTTTTTTAAGTATTAACATATTTAATTTTTTTTTTTTTTTTTGGTAGTGGGCTTCTAAGAGTATTTTTGGATTAAAATTAAAATTCAAAAATTGATACTCTTATAAATTTTTGAAACATTTTATAATTGTATAACTATGATAAGAGTTATACAATGATAACTAGGTTATATGTGGTGGAGCTTGGTACATAACTACACGTCTAACTTAGGCAAAATTTGGGTGTTATGGAACCCCAATACTATCAAATTTACTGTCATCACTACCACATCACAGGCTATTCATTGCTCAATCTCAGTTATTGGGCAAAACGTTGATTTGTTCACATCATTTGTTTATGTTGCTAATATTGCTACTGATAGGCAGCTTCTTTGGGATGATCCAATCAATCATGCACAATTATTCGCAAACACACCATGGCACTTAATGGGTGACTTCAATGTTATACCAAACATTAGGGAAAACCATGGTGGTTCAATGAGATGGAGCAATGCAATGACAAACTTCAATGACTATCTGCAATAAACAGAGCTAGAAGACCTGATGTTCAATGGAATTTTGTATTCTTGGACCAACAAGAGCATGGGAAATGCCTGCATTTCCAAGAAACTTGATCGAGCTTTGGTAAACCCTACATGGACTTAAACATTCCCCCTATCTGAATGCACCTTTCTACCCCCAAACATCTCAGACCACAGCCTAATCCTAGTAAATCAGGACCTTAGCACCCCAAGAAGACAAGTTCATTTCAGATTCTTCAATGCCTGGTCCACACAAAAACTTCCACTCTATAGTACATAATGTCTGGTCTAAATTCATTAAGGGTACAGCTATGTTCTAGGTGGTCCAAAAACTGAAGCTTTTGAAGCAGGAGCTGAGATCAAACTGCAAGAAGGAATTTTCAGAAATTGACTCAAAATTGCAAGTTGTGAGGATGGAACTAAATGCATGTCAAATGGACCTAGACAACACACCAGATGACCAAAGCCTTAGACAGTTAGAGAAAACAATTAGTACTGAGCTCCTGTGACTTGGCAACATTCAAGAAGACACACTCAGACAAAAATCAAGAATGTCCTGGTTAAAGTTTGGGGACTGCAATTCAAGCTTCTTCCACAAATCAGTCTATTCATGGGCCAATAGAAACAAAGTAATCTCACTTACATCTGCCTCAGGCCTCACTCTCTATGATAAAGAGGAGATCAAGCTTGAAGTTGTTGCACATTTCCAAAACTTATTGGGAACTACACCTCAAATCACACACCATATCAATGACCTCTACCCATTCATCACAGCTCAAATTCCAACACACCTACACCAATACTTAGATGATCCCCAACCCACATGGAGATACAAAATTGTATACTAAACCTAAACAAAAACAAAGCACCAGGTCCTGATGGCTACAATGAACTCTTTTTCCACAAAGCCTAGAGTATTGTTGGAAGATCAGTTACTCTTGCCATTGCTGAGTTTTTTAGAAATGGGAAACTGTTGGGGGAGACCAACCACACTTACATTTGTTTGGTGCCAAAATGCCAAAACCTAACCTCTATGCATGACTATAGGCCAATTTCTTGTGTTAACACCATTTATAAGTACATTGCCAAGTTACTTGCAATAAAGCTGCAACATACCTTACCTGAGATCATTGATTCATCTCAATTAGCTTTCATCCATAGCAGGAAAATCACTAATCCCATACTACTCACTCATGAGCTTCTAAGGGGGTACCACAAGCAATCCAAAACAGTAAGGTGTGCCATTAAAATTGACTTGAAGAAAGCCTTTGACTCTATCAAATGGGATTTCATCCTCAACTGTCTCAAACTACATCACTTTTCCTGATAAATTCATCTCCCTCATTCAAGCATGTGTGACTTCACCATCCTTCACTTTTGCTCTTAATGGAAAGTTCAAGGGGTATTTCAAAGGGAAAAGAGGGTTAAGGCAAGGGGATCCCCTCTCACCCTTCCTTTTTGTAATTGCAATGGATGCCCTCTCTTCCATCATAAAAAATTTTGTGGATAGAGTTCACACTTTCAGGTATCATTGGAGGTGCAAAGATCCAAAGATTACTCACTTATCCTATGCTGATGACCTGTT